TCTCGCCGCTGAGCCAATCACAGCCCCGGAAAGTGTAAACAAACTTAGGCCAAAGCCGAAAATTGGGCATTTTTACCACCGTCCATTAAAAAAATAACGTGTAAAATCTGCTACAATAAATTTCAAATTTTTTTAACTACATCCCTACACAGATAAATTTCCCACAAATCTACCGTGGAACATGACCTCGATTTTGCGTTGTTAAGAAAATACAGCGTTGTAAACCTAGCCATAGGATACCTTCATATCCAAGGGGTTTAAAATTAACAAAATTTCAAGTCAATTATTGCTGTTACCCCATAAAACCAAAATTTTGCATATTTCAGTTGCTTTAAATCTGAATATCACATTAGACTCAGCTTAGTTTTAAAAAACTCTGACGAACAACGCATGCAGTCTTTACTAGAGCTTTGATCAACGCAAAAATGAGAGAATTTCCCTTTTCAAGACAAAAACTCTCAATAGCTTTCAACTGATCATGTAAAAATGCTCCACCTAGCCGGAGAAGCTTTTAAACTGATACATAATGACTTATTTTGCGACTGTACCATGTCCTGAGCATCTCTGCTGAAGCACAGGTATCTAAGTATTGTGGGGCGTGAAACGATTAGTTCTAAACATGTGCTGGGCACCCAAACAGAATCGTAATATATGTACATAAAGGGAAAAAAGCTACTCAAAACCTAATTAGAAATACTTACTGTGTTTCTGTGAGTGTTAGAATCCTGCTTTGCCAATTTTTGAATCATGATTTACATAACGCGTTTGAAGGTAAATTTTTGGGTTATTCTTGTCCTTGTGACATAAGAATTCATATTTCGAACAATTCTTCACGCCCATCTCTTCCAGTCCGTTGCAATTTTAAATTTAGGAGATAGAAATGATGAAGACTTTTGAAAGCAGGAACTACCCGCATGTTTCTCAAATTTCAAAAGTTAGCAAATGATGACGTGTTGTAACAAAGTGAATTTTCAAAAAATTAAATTCAACTTTTAAAAGTATTGCAAGGGTTTCGAGATTTCGTGACTTTTCAGTGAAAGGTCAGTGCTTTTCAGTGCTTGGTTTCGAGATTTCGTGACATATTGATTCTTCGAAAAGTAACTTATGATAGTTTCAGAATAAAGAGAGATGCAAATTGTTTGCCATTTAGTTTTAGAATAAAGAGATGCAAATTGTTTGCCATTTTAATTGTTTTGCTTGAAGCGTTTAACTGTGAAACTGTCAGAATAAAAAGTCATTAATTTCTAAAAAAACGATAACTCTTTATGCTTCATATTATAAAGCAAACTGCCATGACATTAGCATTATACTCATAATTTACTGTCACGAATAGCTGAATTACATACAATGAGGTGAAACTATTCATAGTCAGTGGTGATTTCTAGGGGGTGTAGGGGGCGATAAATCAGCCCCTTTGCTAAGTCTTTTTCTTGGTTTTGGAGGCTCTGCCTCTTAAAGGGGAATTTTCAGGTCTTCTCATCTAGATCTTAGATCTTTTCAGGATAAGGAGGATTTTCGAAAGCATGATCGAAGAAGTTTTATTTGCAAATACCACGAGAAAGGATGCACACAAATTGTTAATTTTCTCATCACTGGTACCTTTTTTATTAGTGTCTCACCTTCGAAGTATACTGTCAAGTATACTGAAGTATAGCTGCATTGTTTTGGGAAGAACAGTCATATCAAACATTGATTTGCTTCAGTGTTGGTTATTTCATTTGATGGGTGTGATAAAAGATGATCGTGGTCATAAGAAACCACAACCGGTCTTGTAAAATCGCATCTAGAGCCCTCTTCCAAGAATTTTTAGAAATCAGCCCTGTTCAAAAAATGACTTTTTATTCTGACAGTTTCACAGTTAAACGCTTCAAGCAAAACAATTAAAATGGCAAACAATTTGCATCTCTTTATTCTAAAACTAAATGGCAAACAATTTGCATCTCTCTTTATTCTGAAACTATCATAAGTTACTTTTCGAAGAATCAATATGTCACGAAATCTCGAAACCAAGCACTGAAAAGCACTGACCTTTCACTGAAAAGTCACGAAATCTCGAAACCCTTGCAATACTTTTAAAAGTTGAATTTAATTTTTTGAAAATTCACTTCGTTACAACACGTCATCATTTGCTAACTTTTGAAATTTGAGAAACATGCGGGTAGTTCCTGCTTTCAAAAGTCTTCATCATTTCTATCTCCTAAATTTAAAATTGCAACGGACTGGAAGAGATGGGCGTGAAGAATTGTTCGAAATATGAATTCTTATGTCACAAGGACAAGAATAACCCAAAAATTTACCTTCAAACGCGTTATGTAAATCATGATTCAAAAATTGGCAAAGCAGGATTCCAACACTCACAGAAACACAGTAAGTATTTCTAATTAGGTTTTGAGTAGCTTTTTTCCCTTTATGTACATATATTACGATTCTGTTTGGGTGTCCAGCACATGTTTAGAACTAATCGTTTCACGCCCCACAATACTTAGATACCTGTGCTTCAGCAGAGATGCTCAGGACATGGTACAGTCGCAAAATAAGTCATTGTGTATCAGTTTAAAAGCTTCTCCGGCTAGGTGGAGCATTTTTACATGATCAGTTGAAAGCTATTGAGAGTTTTTGTCTTGAAAAGGGAAATTCTCTCATTTTTGCGTTGATCAAAGCTCTAGTAAAGACTGCATGCGTTGTTCGTCAGAGTTTTTTAAAACTAAGCTGAGTCTAATGTGATATTCAGATTTAAAGCAACTGAAATATGCAAAATTTTGGTTTTATGGGGTAACAGCAATAATTGACTTGAAATTGTGTTAATTTTAAACCCCTTGGATGTGAAGGTTTCCTATGGCTAGGTTTACAACGCTGTATTTTCTTAAAAACGCAAAATCGAGGTCATGTTCCACGGTAGATTTGTGGGAAATTTATCTGTGTAGGGATGTAGTTAAAAAATTTGAAATTTATTGTAGCAGAATTTACACGTTATTTTTTTAATGGACGGTGGTAAAAATGCCCAATTTTCGGCTTTGGCCTAAGTTTGTTTACACTTTCCGGGGCTGTGATTGGCTCAGCGGCGAGAGAGGTCACATGATTTAGCGCAAGCTCTCAGCCAATCAAGATTTGAGCCCTATGCTAGTTTCCTTATCTGTCCATGTGAAGTTCTAATCAGCCTTTTTGCTACTTCCCATCGATATATTTTCCGATTTCTTTGGCCTTGTCGACTTTATGACAGAAATATGAACGTGTTCACTCTGACATCAATGAAAATTATTTTCGCGCGTTCTTAAATCAAGGGTTGTGCGCATGCCTAATTAAAAAACTCACCATTTAGTTTCACCGTGTAAACGGAGGGGCTAAACGAATAAAATTTTATCCGGTACAACGTAAACGGATAAAAATTTATCCGGATAAAACACTCTAGTGTAAACGGGGTCTAAGGCCCTCTTCACACGATACCGGTTCATTTCGTATCGGATCGCTTTTCATATCGTATAGGCCTTCTGTTCACACACGATGACGCTTGAATCCGATACGCCCCGTATCGTTTTTGCGGAGTCAAACCATTCCGCTGCTAATGTGGAATGGAATCATATCGGATCGGTGCTTATAGAGAGACGGAAACCCCTTCTTTCCAAGTGCCCATGGCAAAAGATGCAACCTCAGTATCATTGTGCCCAGCCACCACAAAGAACCATTTTAAAATTTTTTTTCACAGAATCCTACCTATTCCTTATGCTTAGAGAGAGACGGAAAACTCTTCTATCCAAATGCCCATGGCAAATGATGCCACCTCGGAAGTTGTATCCAGTCACCACAAATAACCATGTTAAAAATTTACACACAGAATCCTACCGATTCCTTGTGCTTATAGAGAGACGGAAACCCCTTCTATCCAAGTGCCCATGGCAAACGATGCCACCTAGGGAGTTGTATCCAGCCACCACAAATAACCATGCTAAAAATTTATACTCAGAATACTACCGATTCCTTGTGCTTATAGAGAGACGGAAACCCCTTCTATCCAAATGCCCATGGCAAAGAAATGCCATCTAGGAAGTTGTACCCAGCCACCACAAATGACAATGTTAAAAAATTAAACACGTTTGTCGAGACGCAGCAATGAAGACTGAAAGCGGGTAATCTAAATATTGACCCAATTGATATTTTGATACATCTTTGAAAAGGTATTGAGAACACTAACTGAGCGGCAATTTCTTTCTAATGTACGATTTGATTCCCCTTTATCTAGTGGGCAAACTGTCGCTTTCTTTGCATCGTTTGGGAAACAAAAATTTCGAATGCTACAGTTTATTGCCGTATTTGTAATTTCATTTGCAGCCAAGGATACAAGCTTCGGGGGAATTTTATCTTCACCAGTAGATTTCTTGCCATCCAGGGATTTTAATAGTTTTGCAACTTCTTGACTGCCTATCTCTTGAAAAGTGAAAGTAGCCAGGACCTTTGCATACGATGAACACCATGTCATGCTTTAATCGCGTGATTTTTTGCTCATTGTAATAACGTGGGCCTCTGAATGGATGGGTATTTTTTTGGAAAGATAGGCCTTGCTTTATTCAAATGTTGATTTTTTCTATGTGCTCAAGCCTGAGGGTAGGATAGTGTTTCCATGATTTTTAGATTCGGGAAACATACTACTTTTGTGCTTTGATAAAATGGCGTAAGAGGTTGCTGAGACCCTCTGCTAAAAAATTCCTGAACGGGTACTCGAGCTCCCAAGACACCAAGTAGCTGGCGATCAAGTTTTAGGTGTATTCTTCATTTGCTGAATACCTTCTCTTCATCACAATCTATCTTTACCTTCTCGGATTTAATCTGGTGATGTAGAAACTGATTCCTTAACGTGCCTGTTCATTATACGACATTTTTTGTCTCATTCTGTAACCCAGGCTCTTAAGTTGCAAACCACCGATGCATTTGAGAGGCTTTTAATTCTATTTTCATGGAATTAAAGCACAGCTTTGATGTCTGCAGAGATTTGAAGGAAAATAACGTTTCTGTAAATCATTCAAGCAATTTAAATAGAAGTAAATCAGAGACTTATGAGAACTACTGAACTAGCAAGTGGATTCAAAGGAGTTTTTCTAAGATTACACTCTTTCACCAGCCGCCCGGTCACATTTTGGACTTAAACGTTCATTTTGCCATGTGAATCATCAAGTCGCAAACACGATGACTGTATCCAAATTCATTGTCATACCTTCAAAAGATAAAAAAATGGAATAAACCACTATTTTAAATAAATGAATGAAAATGACACATATTATAATCCGATGATGAAAGAAACTTCAATTTGATACTTGATAATCTCCTAATGGTTTTAGTTATAAGACGACAAATATATTTTACTACGTGCAGGTTTTGAGTCCATAGGGCGTTTCTGAATGACTCGACAAATTAGTTGTAGCCGGAAGTGTGAATATTGGACAAATCTGCTAAATACATTCCATCTAAATGATCTTATTCTTATTTAACACTGACTTTTTCCAATGGTGATTCAAAAATCAAAATGAAAGCATTTTCATAATATGGTCTTTGTACCATTAGCACTTTCTTCACACTAGCAAGAATTTAGAATCTTATTAACTAAAGATTCTCGTTTTGGTTGAAAATAGTGTTGTCCTTTAAAACCTTCTCGAACATTCTAGCTTACGCTTACGCAAGTTTCGGTTGCTAAGGCAGTTAGTTTGGCTTTGAAAAAAGTAACATTTTAGAACATAGCTAAGTAATAAAGCTAAGATCCTATTCAAGATCAATTCGGCATCTATACCTAAAAATTTATTCTCAGGAAACAAACATAAACGACTTGAAGTCGTAAAAATCTAGCTGAAACCTTTTTAATATTATATAGAGTCAGAGTGGCGTGCAGACCTGTTTATCTTTAATAACAACTAAAGGTTGATTTTCAAAACGCGAATTTCGCATCGCATTTGCTACGTACATATATTGATTTCCCTAAAACTCAACTTTAAAGTGCCCATTTTCACAACTGCACGCATGATGAATGTTCCTAGATTATTTTCTTACAAATCGAGAAAATTTACCATGCTTTGACTGGAAACTAGGTGAAGCGAAATATTTCGTTGCGAAAAAGTAGAACTCTTTCCTACTTTCTTGTGAATTCGCGGCAAAATCAAAAATCAAAACTGCGCATGCCTTGATACTTTCATCAGTGATGTCGCCATGGAAATCAGGCTTAAATTTCAATTTACAAAAAAACTTGAGACATATCATACAATACTGTTGTTGGAACCTCTATTTCATCAAGCTTACCCTCCCTATTCTTTCTGGAAATAAACTTAAATTTAAAATGTTTAGGGACAACTTCGAAATTTTGAATACATTTTATGCAATAGATTTTGGAAGACTTTTTAAAAGTCTTTGTCATTAAACAAGTACGGTAGCTATTGCCATGAAAACTTCATAAGACATAGTTGATTGTCGAAACCATTTACGTACGCCAAAAAATTTAAAAAAAACATCAACCATAAAAATTCTTAAGGTCTTGGGACGAAAACACAGGAGATTTTAAAAAACAAGAGCTAACTTACGAGTAGCGCTCGGAAATCACTTTCTGCACAAATAATCGCAAGCTAGAGTTGTCAAGTGATGACGTCACAAAAATCTTATTTGAAATTTTTTCCCATAACCTGAAGTAACATCATGAAATACCTCTAAATGTGCAAAATCAGTTAAAGGTATTCCGAATTGGCTGAAATATGACTAGACGAGCACAAGCTCTGGCCGCATCAAACCTCTGTAATTTGGTCTTAGTTCATAACTAATAAAATTTGAAATTCTAAAAATAGTTTTTATGACGTCACACTTGAGAACCCTATTGCATCAATTGAGGCTGTATAAAAAGATTCTCCGTACAAGAACAGTTAGAAACTTATCAAGAGTTGACAGAGCGAAAAAGTTTTACGAGGCCGAGAGATGAATGGTCTTTTCTGAAAGATCTGCGAATTAATAGGTTTGAATCCTTGCCAGACATTATATTGTCGTGTAAAAAGAAGCCAAATTTAGAGACCTAAGCAAAAACAAAGCTATCAAATTTTCTAAAAATGCTCTTAAAGAAAAAATGCTCTCTCACAGCAAAAATCAATCGACGAGGAGCTATTTTCTTTGGTGTTTCGCAGCTTCAAACAAAGCTTTACTAAATTCAATATCTTGATCAAATGGTCTTTATAAATTTCTTTGTTTTCTTCGTTCAGCCCGAAAAAACCGCTATTGTGTAAACAAAAGGAGTTCGTTTTCACACTGGTAACATTTTCTCTAGGCAAGCGGCACTGATTGGGCAACCTCAACAGTCCTGTCCTCGCGTTTCTGATTGGCTTATTTCGATCCACAACTGGGTATTTATATTTTCTAGCCTAGAGATTTGGACCTATGCACTGTTTAAATCTCTAATTCTCACCAAAGTGAAACGAGACTGAGAACAATCCATTCCACAGTGGACGTTCTCATCGTCATTGCATACTTCTGCAAAGATTCCCTTTCATTGAACTTACCAGGAAACAAGTTTCACAAATGTGTCACTCAATGCAATGCCAGCCTTAGCATCAAATATTGAAGAAAAGGTACAGCCAACAAAGTCACTGGAAACTACTTCCTCATCTGTATAGCCCATGTATTTTCCAAGTTCCTTGCTTTCTGAGGCCTTCTTCACAACAGCTTTGATCTCTTCATACTTTGCCTGCAATAGGAAACATGAATAAAGTTGAAGAAAATTATATATAGCTGTATAGAACAACATGTAAACTGATGTATAGTAAAATGGAACTGACTTTAGGGTCTATTGCATAATTTAGCAATATCAAATTCTGATGACCTGTCTGTGTGACGAAGCCCTCAGTCAGGGTGGCAAAGTCCTCAGTCGGAGTGACAAAGTCCTCAGTCAGGGTGACAGTCTGGGTGACCTATTTCCACATATTTCAAAATATTTTATCTCTAAAAAGATGCAGAGAACACTAATATTTGGTGGTGCGTGTGCCTATTTTTGGCCATCAAAAAATGGATGGTAAAGAAGCTTAAAACACTCACTGGCTTTTTCAAACGGCAGGTTAAATCCACAACAGAAACATCTGGAACTGGAACACGGAAAGCCATTCCAGTCAATTTGCCATTTAAATCTGGAATAACTTTTCCAACAGCTTTGGCAGCACCAGTAGCTGCTGGGATGATGTTCTGAAAAGCTCCACGTCCATCACGCCATTTCTTTGAATAATAGAGAATGACAATTGCTCATTCATGCTCAACCAATTATTAAAACATTTTTATACTAGTATATTTTCTAGAAGGTTATCTAAACTTTCGGAAAATTAGTTAAATTTGTTATGGGTTGTAAAACTATTCATTACTTTTGCATTTTTAATTTCCATTGCGTTAAAGTGCACTTCTGAATTCTTCATCTTAGGGATTATAATCATGATAAACAAACCAGTAGAAATCACATTCAAGGTTTCGAACGTTTACCACAAACAAAAGGCTTCTAACAGAGAACTATTTACTCAAAGTTCGTCAAGCACATGATTTTCGTTACACACAAGGCCCGTTTATTGAAAGTAGGATAGGAAGAGGATAGGGAAAGGTGATAAACATTGTGAAAAATGCTGAATCCATTCTTAAACCTTTTGACTTGGACCATCCACCGTTTTTTGGGTTGCAGTTACCGCATGAATTGTACTCATCAAGCCTTCTTCAATTCCAAAGCTATCATTGATAATCTTTGCAAGTGGGGCTAAACAGTTCGTTGTGCATGAAGCATTGCTGAAATGACAATAAATAAAACTAGGACACACATTTACCGCCATTTACAACACAATTCATCTCCAATCTGAACTGATTTGGACAATGGTTTCTGTTGCTTTAATTTGATAAAAAAGGTGGCACCAACAGTATCAAAATTTATACATGTATCCCTGCAACTATGAAAGGAATACCTATTTGGACTAGAGTATCTATGTCAGCCATTTACTTTTGTCAATCTACAGAGCAAAAAATTTGGGGCAAGGCCTTTCAGTGGGGCGCATCAACACCTGATCGCGCTAGAAGTCAACTGTGCACACAATATAGAGGTACATATGTTCAGCAAAATAGTTATTAGTTAACGACAATTGGGTAAGGAGAGTTTAAATTATGGATAAAATAATTCACTATGATCATAAATTTCGAAAAAATTGCTGTAACAAGAAACGAAATTGAAATGAATACTGTATGACTCAAGATCTTGTTTTTTTCTTCGAATATCAATATTCCAAAATAATATTTTCTCTAACCTTACAACATGCATACTGCTCGAATCATATCTGTCCTCATTTACTCCCATAACAAACATAGGCGCATCTGCTGATGGTGCTGAGATTATAACTTTCTTTGCCCCTCCTTTCATGTGCAGGCTTGCCTTCTCAATTGTTGTAAATACACCAGTTGATTCAACGACAAATTCGGCACCTGATTCGGTCCATGGGATTTCAGCAGGGTCCCTTTTTCCATAAACAAATATTTCATTTCCATTTATCACCAACTTTCCATTTTCTGCCTTAACATTGCCTTTGTATCTATTGTGTGTAGAGTCAAATTTAAACATGTACACCTAAAATGTAAAAACATAAAATTTAATTGCTGAAAATGATTCTAAAGTAATACAATATTTGTCTAGATATCACAGAAGGAAGAATTTCATTGCTTACTGTAACCAAACTCAATAGAAAAAACTCTGGTCTGAAAGCCAATTGCTCTATTATTTTCTTAACTAGAACTTGAAAGCACTTAAATTCTAATCACGTGAGTGACCCGAGTAAGGGGCAAGATGAAACATTCTCTCATCTTGCAATAGCAGATGCAGGCAGTTTCGTTAAGCCCAGTAATCAGTTGCACGGGCCAGAGAAAAAGATTTTCTGCGTTTCAAAATCTGTCTTCATGATAAGAAATGCTTACTTTCAAAAGCCATTTATCAAACCGATTGAAACTGGTTGAAACTGATTGATCTATTGCTTTTCTATATATCAAATTTTCAACTAACGCTTCTCTAATATATTTCAGACAAAATTAAAACGTTGTCAAGATTGCAAGCAACCGACAGTAAGAAATATACTGAGGGTGATAAATGTATTTTAAGCTAATCTAAAGGGCGTGGTCGCAAAAATTTGACCCTCGTCTGTCCCTCTACACAATGTTTACAGTTTCCCCTTGTTTTTGTGCTTTTCTCAAAAAGCCCTTTGCGTTCCTTAGAAATTTCCGATAAAATAGAAACATAAATGCTATGGCGCTTGAATCCTTACAAACTGGATTCTGAAATGCTTGTCGGGGACTTGGCAGATTTTTCTCCAAGGCGAATTGACTTAGTTGGGACCCTTTGAATACTGCTTATTATTTTAAGACATTTGCTTACAACTTTGGAAAATCAGTTTATACACGTGGAGCTTTCTCGCTTTACACAATTCAGAATATAACGATTAGAGGAAATGTGAAGATGATAGACAGTTGTAGAATGGGGTCAGCCACAGAAAGTTAGATATGATGGTTATCGTCTTTGATTAGCCAACCATTGCCACGTAAAAAAGCCATAGTGTTTCCAAACGCATTTACAAAATAGGGCTTTTTTCCAGATTCTAAAGGGAAAAATTTTCCCCGCAAAACTTTTCCAGGGAGTAGACACCCGTACCCCCTTCTGTCGGACTCCTTCAATCTTCAAACCCTGAACTCCTTAACAAAATACTTGATTTTTTCATGAATCCTTCAAAAATATCTTCCAGAATTTTCGTGGACCGTCCTACGGCCAGTGGCCATGCGACAACCCAGCGTAAATGGTGAAATATGACCATGGTAAGATGGGGATATACCTACCTTTTGTTTCAGAAACTTGTCACATGAGCCCTTGCCTTTAGTTAGCTCCCTTGCAGAGTCCAGAAAAGTTGTTAACCTTCCTCAAGACAAAAACAACCCAGAAGGCAAACCTTCCTCACAAAACAATTTAAAGTGGGAATGACTTGGGTGTGTCATAGGAGCTTCTGTTGTTTTTCGTGGACCGTCCTACGGACAGTGCGAGTGCGTCCCTTCTCTGAGCCTGCTGCTAGGAGCATCTTATAACAACTGTCACCTTAGTATGTCACTGTTAAAATTATGCTCCCAAGTCAGAAACATTCAACGACAATTCAATAAAAAAGACTTCCAAATAAGGGTAAAGAATGTTTTTGGAAATTTAAAATGATAAATATTGAATTAATTGCTTCTTTTTTGCACATATTAAAACAAGTGCTCACAAGTATTCTTAAAGCCATGCCTATCATTGTTCTGTTTTGTAAAGAACAGACAATATTTGTCCAGCACATTTGTTCTTAAATCTTTTTACAATTATCCTTCCATGTTCTTGTTAAATTTTCCACATAATCCATACCCTCTTCACCCAGTCCATACCAAGTCTTTGTAATACGAGAAAAGGTCACATGTGGCATTTTGCACATCTTCAATTGCTTTTTGCATATGCAATAGCATGTGGTAGGTGATACAAACTGAAGGGCCCTTTTTGTCACTATTTATTCCTGTTATCATTAAATATAGATAAATGCTTTTGTGTTGTAAACCAAACCGAAAGTTGATGGAAAAAATGTTCTACAATCATGATGTTAAATTTAATTTGTTATTAAATTTTTAGGACGTAATTATTGAATTGCTAATTATAGAATTGCTGGGCAATCATTTGAAGGTATGTGAATTGAAAAAATTTTCAACTGTCTATTGACCATACTGTCCATAAAGTTATTGCCATACAAAGTCACTGAGATTCCTGTCATCCTTAAAGGCAGATCTCCGCATGATGATTTTTAAGAGGGCTGTTAGAAAATATCGAAACAGGTCATGTGCAGTAAGTAAAAGTGTAGAACTGAGTAGAACTGATTTTAGCTCCTCGTCAGACTTTTAATATGGCAATCACAGAATATGTGATGTCATTATTAAATCCTAGATAGGAATACTTTAGCAAC